GGTTGTATAGGGTGTAGGAATGGCAAAGGGTGTAGAATAACATCCCTCTATATATATATATTTGGACTGTAAATTATAATTTTGTAAATATTATATACACATACACACACACATAGTTTTATAAAAATAATATATATTAGCGTCGGGTTGGCGGTTTGGGTTGAGTTGAGTTATGCTAACCCAATTTCAACCCTCCTAATTAGCAATTTCACGGTTTGGTAGGTTGGGTTTAATTGGGTTGTTAGCGGGTTGTGTTGAACGAGTTTTGCGGGTTGACATTTTTTTGTACACCCCTAAATATAGAATTGGGTTCACGTGAGACCAACATGTTTTCGTAAGACCCGTAATACCACTTTTTCATAATTAAAACTTCACAACAAAACGTTGTGAAAGTAAAAAAAAATTGAACCTTCATAGCAAAAACACTGTGAAAGTTACCTTTACAGCATTTTGATGTAAAGTTTCAACTGTAAAAAAATGATCTCACAAAAATAATCTGGTCTCACGTGATCGCAAGTCTTATTTTCTTTATATTAAAGATGGATCTACCTTTATGGGAAAAAAAACACGTTTTAATTATCATCATACGTTTTAAAATCAAACCATTACTCAATTTGTGTAAGAAACCTTTTATGTACAATTTCAGATAATTTTTGTATTAAATAATACATGAATATTTTGTATATTTTTGACATCTTTCATCATTTTCTCAAATATAAATGAAAATAACAGGGAATGAAAATGAAAATAGATTTTCGATTTAATCAGGATTGAAATTTTGGGCTTCTAAGGAAATAGGCTCATTATCTGAACCCACATTTGAAATGGAAGAAAAGTCATACAAACCAACTTAATCAAAAGAAAATTGAATCATCATTGTAGTTTTAATATATATATATATATATATATATATATGATTACACATAAGCAAATGATACGGTGATACATGTCACAGACGTATAAATTTTTACGTTGCGAGAGCAACGATGACTTGTGCCACGTGTGATAAACCAATTCGAACATCTATGATTAAATTGTATGTATATATATATATATTTATTTATAATATGAAGTGGACGTTTTTACAGAAAAGAGAAGGGGGGGTTTAATGTGGAGTTTCTTGCGGGAGGCGGAGACGTGTGGCAGAAAAATTGACAGGCGAGAAGAGAATATTCGGAATTTACAGTTACAGTCCCTGGAATTTCGGCACATGCCACGTTTAAGTTATGTGACACAAAAGTTTTATAACTTTACTCCACAAATTCAACCATTCCACTCCATCATTCCTTCAATCATTCTTCATGCATCCCATTGATTATGTTTCTGTAACCCAAACATTATATATATATATATATTATATGTATGGATTGGTATTAAGTTTTAAATATAAATCAATCAAATGAGATATTTATGAAAATGATAAAAGTTTATTTATTATGAACTGGATAATGATGGAAGATGATCAGAGTTCATTCTTAATGATTGAAGCTTTAGATCGTGAAACAATCAAGGTATTTGTAAAATTAGAAATTCATTAGAGTAGATTGACGGTTGAGATTGGTTTGTACTAATTAGAGGGTTTGTATTTGGAAAAAGAGAGGGTCTGGATTAATCTCAAATCCAAAACTCACACATGAATTACGCTTGATCCGATAAATGATCCGGTGTATCTCATTCTATGGTACATCTCATTCTATGGTACATCCAAAGGTGGGGATCCCTTGTTACGTTTTTCACCTTTAACTCTCATTCTCACTGAAACTCGACCCTGAGTGAGTAAATGATTTTAGTCGTTTTCGGTTGTTATTTTTTAAAAGATTATTTCAATAAATTTTGTTTGAAAGGAAATTAGATTTATTTTTTTCTCTTTAAACTTCTTTACGTTATCTTCTCGACGTCCATCTTGAATTCTTGATCCTATCACGCACATATGTGTAAGTAGATTCAACTGAAAGTCGACCTCTGTAAATTTCAAAACTTAAATTTAAGATATATCTATTAAGTTATCTTAGAAAAGTTTCGTGATCAACACACCAACGTATCTTTTATTTTTTGGGCTAAAAACCTTGAAATGAACCACTTGAGAACTCAAAACGGAGCCATTCACCATCTTTACGCTTCGGCTCGTATCTTGACCCAAACTCGTCTACATAACAATGTGTGCAACAAAAAACATGAATAGAAGGAAATTAAAGAATCTTGTGTAGTTAGTTCTACTGACAATAAGATCTGGGTATTTGGAGATTCTCCTCAAAGATCACTGGTTCTAGTATTGCAAAAGCCAGCAGGGATTTTCCTAGCTGTTCTCCCGAGCCTTGGGGCTGTAATTAGTCGATGTATGTGAAAGGTGGTCCAAACAGTGACGGTTAACAAAAAGGAAAAAGAAACATAAAATAAATACCACAAGAATATTACCCCCAGAGAACATATAACAAAACAATTCACATCAAGTTTATTTTATCTTTAAATCAATCAATTTTCTACCCTAAATCAAGAACATATTGAGAAATCCACTCACTATTTACCTAAGAGTTTCTATGGACAAAAACTAAGAAATCAAGTTTAAGTGTGTGTATATATATATATGAACAGATCGGTTAATATTCCAACAACGAATCCAGCTCTGAAAACGTAGATGTGCCAACATGATCATCGGGGTCGTACTCCGTGTGTCTCAAACCATCTTTTGATAACAAGGATGTAAATGATGTCTCGGTAGTAGTAGCAGTCATCTCGTTGCTTACTCCAGTATCCCGGGACACACTTGTCTTTTCGGATCCAATACAATGTTGATCCTTCTCTTTCTTGAAATCCGTATTTGACCAGTAAAGGGCTGATGTGGATGCAAGATAGGGTAGATTCTTACTAACGTATTGGTTAGACAAATCGGTTTGGTAAGTGTTGGTGTCGAAGTTGTAATTACAAGAAGAAACAAGGATATTTTTATAATCTTGATTGTCTTCAAGTTTTTCAGGTCGGGTATGAGAGAAATAGCATATTGGGTTGGTAGCGAAGGTCGGATCAAGATTCATGGCTGAAGGATCCATCAATGGAGGTAGCAATGATGGACTATCCAAGAGATCTTCGACGTAGGAGTTTAACCCGTGATCCGAAACCGGGCTCTTTTGTGCTCCTGTCGTCTTGTGAAAAACACGACATACAACCCATTCCTCCTGTAACAGATATATAATTAGGCACGTAAATATTGACAATAACTAAGAGAAAGTGGTTTGGTTTAGGAAAAGGTTGGCCAATACAACATATATTCACACTTAAATAAATTGTTACGAAAAATGATGACTTGTTTGATGATAACCAACTAATAATTCAAGAATTTCAGGTTTTTTATGCAACATTTGATTGCATACACACACATATACATAGGATGTTTACTTTGCAAACCATGTTATTTGTACAGACTTCATTCAACTAATCATAATTTTTTATTTTTTTGTAATTATGAGAGGTTGATTAATCATTTTATTGTGGAGGATGTTAATCATGGGGATTATTATCTTAATTATATTAATTTTAAAGAAAATACATGAAACAATTTCATAAAAAATTTATAAGTATTATATGAAATAATTTCATAACCATATATAAAACAACTTAATCTTGAAAAACATTATATGAAACAATTTCATATCATTAAACAATTTCATTAAACAAAATCATTAAATTAGAGGTTGTTTGGCAATTGCTGAATGGTTTGATGCAGAATGATTAAGTGGTCAGAATGATTAAGAGGCTCTCATGATATAATGCAAAATGAAATATAATTGTTTGGTAATTGTGTACAATGAAATTAAGGCTCTTAATGGTTAAGGGAGATTTAAGATACAAAATCATTCAAAACGTTTTGGAACCATTAAGAAATAGACTTTTTTTTTTACCAAACAAGATTCACCTCTTAACGATTCAAAGGTTGTCTCTTAATAGAACTATTAAGAGGAAAACAAACAACTTTTAAACAATAAAATCGACGGATAAAGGTGGTTTGCATGGTTTATATAAATAGGAGTAATTTGCATTTGATGGGTCCCCTCTCTATATATGTTTTTTTCTCATCAAATATTAATTTCGAGTTTAAATGCACATTAATTAACATATTTGACTTTTTTTATGGCATTTTTAATTATTTTTGTTTTACATTTTTGCATTTTTCCTATTTTTTTGTTAAATCAAGGGAAAAAATTAAAAGCAAAAGAATAAAAAATAAAAAGAAATGTACAGGAAAACAAGACATTTCGATAGCTCAAAAATCAAAAAGCATGCCCAAAAGTATGTGTTGTAATAATTTTTCTATAGACAAAAATATAATAATTTTTGGTATTTAAAAAAAATAATATCGATATTTCACAAGCTATCTGTTAACTTAAAACCTAACTGATTGCTCATAAATCAATTATTAAGTTTGATAAAAATTAGTTGATAAACAACATACATAAAATATATGTTGAAAAATTACTCAACTTTAAGTTTTAAAAGCATCTTTAACAATTATGCTAAAAAAAATATTTTACAGATTTATTTATTTTTTTACTCCAAAAGCCAGCTATAAGAGATAAAAAAAAGTAATATTTAAATTTTTTTACCATCAATAAGAGATATTGAAATTAAATGTGTAAAAGAAAGAAATAATATTTTATTAAATATATTGAATTTTTATTAATATAGTTAATATTACATTCATATTTGGGGGGTGTTTAGGATTGTTTATAAAAACAACTGATTGGCTTATTTTGGTATGGGATCAGTAATAAACATTTTTTAGTGTTTGGATAAATAACTTATACCGGTGCCAAACCGGTAATAATTTTTTTTTTGATTAAGTTAAACCATTCTAACTTATAATAAATTGTTTCAAATAAGCAATCCCAACCACCCCGTTAATGATTTATTTCTTCCATACATCAACATCAAAACTCACTTTTTACATTATCGATGCATGATTTTGACATAAAAAATGTGTATATATTAGGATCAGGTCAAATTATTCACTAAATTTTTTTGGAGATTTTTGGTTTTGATTGTGGAAATTTTTTGAAAAACATATGGAGAGAAAAATAATGTATTACACCATTTTGTAGGTAGGTAGGTACCTGGGATGGTTTAGGCATGTTGTAATATGAGAATTTGCCTTCCAATCTGAACTCGTGCATCACCCAATTCGTCTTCTCCCCTCTCGGAGCTCTCCCCTTGTAGAACACCAATGTCTTCTTCATCCCTACCAACTTCCGCACCGCCCTGAATATCTCCCTATCTTTTCCGGTAGCCTTCCAGTAACCAGATTCCGTCGCTCGATTGGTTCTCATCCCCGTTGGATACTTCCGATCTCTCTGACAAAAGAAGAACCATTCCTTCTCTCCCATCTTAGCTTTCTCTGAATCATAATTCAATTTTTTCATCAATTTTCTAATACTTTCAACACAAAAATCACATGAAAAACGATGATCGAGTCAATTAATTAGCAGTGACGAGACTTACTAGGTAAATCCCAGGGTTCAGACTTGTTGAGATCAGCTTCTCCGATGGCGATGGCGGTGAATGTCCGATTCAGAACTTTAGGTGTAAGATAATGAGTGACGATCTCCTCATCAGTCGGATGGAATCTGAATCCAGGAGGAAGTCCGATCAATGCATCATCATCGTTCGATTTCACCATTTTCTGTGCAGATCTCTCCATCATCTACTGTTTACAGTCACAGCTAACAATCAAAGATGGCGATGAAGAAATGAGTGTAAATTTAATGGGAAGAATTGGGAGAAAGAAGGGGGAAGAACGGTTTAGAAAGAGGGAAAAGGGAGGGAAGCCATGGGAGTTAAATAGAAGAAACTTAACGCGTAGATGCCAAGCTTCTACAAGACTCATGCTCTATCCAAAATGTCAAATTAAATTTAAATATTCTATTAATAATAATTATATTTTATTAAAAAATAAAAATAAAAATTCTACGTTTTTAAAACATCTCCAACAAATTATTTAAAATTAACAAAATAAAAATTTTGGTATGGTACCAAGTTTTTTTCTTCAATACTGTGCACCAAATCAGTTACAATTGATATATAAAATACTATATCATGTAACAACCAATTGTACTTGGTATTATTTTTTTTCAGTTGACACTTGTTTTGTATCAACTTCAAGCTACATATATTAAAATTTATAATTTTATTTCAAATTTTGAGTTTGCAAGTAAGGGGTTGTTTTGTTTACCTTCTTAATAGTTCCACTAAGAGGCAACCTCTGAATCGTTAAGAGGTGAATCTTGTTTGGCAAAAAAAAAGTTTGCATCTTAATGGTTCTAAAACCCTCTGAATGATTTTGTATCATAGATCTCCCTTAACCATTAAGAGCCCTAATTTCATTGTACACAATTACCAAACAATTATATTTCATTTTGCACTATATCATGAGAACCTCTTAATCATTCTGCACCAAACCATTCAGCAATTGTCAAACAATCTCTAATACATGTCTTGTTTAAGGGGTTTTTTAGTTGCAAGAAATAAATGTTGTAATCTTCAAAATGAAAAAGTTGTTGGAATTAAATCTGTTTTTATTCTTTTTGAATCGTTTTTTTTTTTAATTCTGGAGGATCTATCGGAGATGCTCTTACGTTTTGTGGGAGGAAAAAAAACAAAAGTTGCGTAGACTCGAAGATACTCGTTAATGGCGGTAAAACGAACACGATCGAATCAAAATTTCAAGCGTCAATTAATTCAAATAGATTTATTGATACATTTGAGTAAAAATAAGTGATTAAGATAAAGTTGAAAATGTGTATAAGTCTTTAAATTCGATTACGACCCTGTAATTTATTATACGTGGAAAAACATAAAACATTCCATTTACGCTTACTGAAGTTTTAATTTAATGTGGAAAACTTCTGCAAAATTTCAACAACATATTAATACTCGTGCAGGTGTCACACTTTTCGTTTTTATCGCTGGCTTATTCATTAAGATCATAATTATACGAAAGTATTCGAGAAAATTCTTAATAAAGACTTGGCTTAAAATACCAACATTTTTGCTGCAAAATATTTTAATTTTGAAGTTAAAATGAAATAAAATATTTAAATAAAATCAAGACTGTCATTTCTCATTAATTATAAATTGTTTAAATATAAACGATTGAAGAAGATTTATTCCATAAATAATTTTAAATGTTATATCTATCTTTATCATTATGTATATATAAGAAGGGTGGTAGGATCACGTGAGACTAAGGGTTTTTCATGAGACCTGTAAGACAAGCTTATGTTCATTGATTAACTTTATAAGCTAATAATTTAATGCTATAAAGTTGTACGGTGGCAATTTTGTGATTATTGAGAAGTCTCGTGGCAATTTGTGATTATGAATGTTTAGATTGTAAATCTAAATCCAAGGATTGAGAATTGGTCTTACGGATCTCACAAAAACCCTCGGTCTCACATGATCCCAAGTCATAAGAAGGGTATTCGTATAATACAGCAAAATACATCTCGATTAATGTTTCATTTTATTTATTTTTGTCTTAGTTGATTTTATAATACGGTTTTATGTGGTTTTGAGAAAACAATAATGTTTTTATTTTTGAATAGATATAAATATGAAAATATAATAAAATTTTGAAAAAAAAATATTGATATTGGTACCAAACTAACTATTTAAAATTTCTCGTTTTCTTGTATATTTCTTTACTTTTTTTTTTGGGTTTAATAATATAAGTTTTTATAAAGATAATAATTAAGTAATTTGTTAAAACTCAATTATTATCCTAATTATATTTTAGATTTTTTATATTTAAAATGAGGTGTTTATCCTCTATTTGATTATGTTTATTTGCAGTTAGTTACACGAATTCAAACATGAAGCTTTAGTAAGTTGTATTTAGACACAATTTACTTGTAATCTTGAATTTTAAATAATATGCATTAATAAACAGTACTTCATGCATAAAAATAATTTTTAAAATATCAAATATTTTATAATATTGTATAGATTCGATGATCTCACATTTATCTCACGATAAAAATTAAATAATAAAAATACGATATTTGAAAGAAAAAAAATAATAATAAAATAGCCAAAATGTATTTTAATGGTAAAATAAAATATGATTAAGAAAGTGGTTGATGTTTCATGGTTGGAGATAGGGTGGTGGGTCTAGCGGAGGCAGAAAGACGGTGGGACCCATGATATCATTCCAACCTTTTTTGTAAGAATATCAATTTCACCCCTTAATTTTCAAGTTTTGACACATTTGACCCTTGCCTATGCATCATCTCAAAACCAAAAGCTTGGTTATAAATGATGTGAGAAGTGATGTAGTCTCGATGTCACTTCAAGCTTTAGAAGTCATGGTGTTCTTTCAGATATAATTTGAGGCAGTATATACGCATCTGTCTCTCTCTCTCTCTCACACACACACACACACAAAATTGCAAATGTATAGAAAACAGATCATTTGCAGATCACTTTATTAGTACAAACCATATAAACCAATTAATTAAATATTTATAGAAATGATTAAAGTTCATTTATTATGATTTAGATATTTATTATCATCCATGTCTTATATTAGAAAATAATCGAGATATTCATTGAATCAATATGCAGTAGACTAGATGAACGGTTGAAATTGGTTTGTATGGGGTTTGAACGAGAACACATTTATTTTACGAAAATGCTAGAGAATACCTATCTACTATAGTGAATCACATTTGATATTAAATCAGAGACGCATTCGACCTTTGGTGCGTTGTAGGTTGTGGGCCAAGTCGTACGCACACCATTAGACCCCCCTCATGTGTGTTATCATATGTGATAAGGATGTTCTTACATTTTCCTCAATGAGTCAATGATATTAAACAATTTAAACTTATATAAGAATTATGTATTCATATCATGTGTATGTGCATATAAAGAGCTTACAGAAAATATTATATTAAGAACTCATAAATAATGATGGGTCATAAGTTCATCGCAAAAAAATACGAGTAAAAATTAAAAACTTGGGTTTTGTCGTTGATCTGTCGCTAATCCATCACAAATCAATGACGGATGAATTCGTAGCAAAATTCCGGTCGTTGTTGTCTCTGTTTCTAATAGTGACTAAAAAATTAATACCAGCAGTAGTTCCATGTAACACTGATTTAAGACCATATAGAAGTATATTATTATCTGTTAATCCTAACAAAAAGAAGCGACGTACAATCCCATTTCAAAAGATTGGATCAGCTGTATGAGCGAAAATTATCTTTCCACGTAAACTTCTCCAGAAAAATGTAAAATAATAAAATCACAAGTCAAAAAACGTGTGCAACTCGCCATACACAGCTGGTGGAGGCTAACATGGGGCGTCAAAGACACATCTTGTGTATAACACGTCATTTAGAACCCTATACTCGTATAAAGGCAAATCCCTCATATTTTCAATCAATCTTTAGCTTACAATCTGTACTTTGAAAAACAGTATTTTAAGGCTTACACGTTACAGAAGTAATGATTTAAGTCTTACAGGTATTTAATTATTGACGTGAAAAATGTAAAGAATGAAAATGCGAATCTTAAATAGTGTAAGATGGAAAGTATAGACTCTAAAAATGTTAAACTTAAATTGGCTTTAAATATGTGCATTTTTTTGGTCCAATTTGTCCCTCACATTTAAAATTGAGATTAATGAATAATATACACAATATTCTTCTTATTAAATCCTAATTATGTAAATTTCAAATTATATACTAAAACTTCATCACTTTTTTTTTGGTACTCGTAGGTTATCAAGTCAGCTTACATACACTGATTAATCTTCAAACGACCATGAATGACGTGTAGTCATTGTAAGTGAACCTCCATGAAAACAAGAATTTAACAGTACCTGGATTCAAATCCAAGACAGACAAAATTGACATTTTAAATCTAACTAAGGGGCCGTTTACTAAACACTTACTTGGTAAGTGTTTATCGGATAAATTTTCTCATCGGATGAACATAAGAAGGGCCAAGAATCTTACCGGGTAAGAGCAACGAGAATGATGAAGAGTCTTGCCCGGTAAGTGAGGATGACGACTCTTACCCAGATAAGCGCTTACCCAGTAAATTGTTGCGTTTTATATGTTTTGATGTACTAAAATCTTACGCATAAAAATAAATTATAGTGTTGACTCCTATATATAAGTGCTTACTGAGTAAGCATTTGGGTAAACGACCCCTAAGATGCAAGATGGCAAAAGGAAGTGAGGGGGCAAGATGTAATTTAATCAAAGTATAAAATCAAATGATAAAGGGTCATAAAAATGTCAATAAAGTGCCTTGAAAAGGTTAGGCCTTAAAGGTATCGTTATACAATGCCTTTCCATTGACTACTTTTCCAAAAAAAAAACCACTATAAATTTAAATACCATATAATTCTTTTCAAATATTTAGCAGAAAAAGTTGATTATCAGCAACATCAATCAGTTCTATACATAACGTGTCTTTGAGGATATCAATGTGATGGGACATTTTTTTTGCTCACTCAACGGCTGAGGCTAGTGGGGTCCTGGAATCAGACCCAGAATCTATCTTGAATTTGTGCAAAGTCGTCTCACTCATTTATCAACTGAGATAAAAAAAATAAAATACTACGCGTTCTAAGTAATGCAATTAAAGTTGTATATGAAGTTTATTAAAAGTATGGCTCTAGATCGAGAAAGTTTCAATTATTTTTCGCACTTTAGACTTTAGGGTCCTTAGGTTCTTTATCGT